CTGTTGACTAATCCATGCAAGACCTTTGAATTTCTTTGTATAAAGTTTAATGAATCAGAAATATGTCGTTTTTCTGTATAGCCTAACAAATACAAAATTGTACGTCCTATATGAAAAAGAAAGAAAATTCATATTTTTGTTGTTGTTAAGTGCTTTTTGTTTAAACGTTTCATTTATTTTGATATTCATTATATAAATATATAGATATTACTATTGTTGCACAATTTTCATCGCCCGTTATTTTGAAATGACGTAAGACAAAAGTCGTATTTTACTTGTTTGGATCCAACCAAACTTCTGTATATACTTTCATAGGGTCGTATTTTACGGTACATTCGTACTTCTCCTCATTAGATATCTACTGGAACACTCATATGATACTTGCCTGAACATGACTGTTATAGTATCCTTTAAATTTCACTTATCGTGACTTTACTGTCATAATACTCTTCATGTTATACATATTATAATGTTACTGGTTTTAATTACCCTTCATGTTATACATATTATAATGTTACTGGTTATTATTACCCTTCATGTTATACATATTATAAAACATTATAATAGGTATCACATGAAGGGTAATTAAAACCAGTAACAAACTGGTTTTAATTACCCTTCATGTGATACCTATTATAATGTTACTGTTTATTATTACCCTTCCTGTGATATTATTGTAATGTTACTGGTTATTATTACCCTTCATGTGATACCTATTGTAATGTTACTGGTTTTAATTACCCTTTATGTGATAGCTATTATAATGTTACTAGTTTTAATTACCCTTCATGTGATACCTATTGTAATGTTACTGGTTATTATTACCCTTCATGTGATACCTATTATAATGTTACTGGTTATTATTACCCTTCATGTAATACCTATTGTACTGTTACTGGTTTTAATTACCCTTCATGTGATACCTATTATAATGTTAATGGTTATTATTACCCTTCATGTGATACCTATTGTACAGTTACTGGTTTTAATTACTCTCCATGTGATAGCTATTATAATGTCACTGGTTTTAATTACCCTTCATATGATACATATTGTAATTATTAGTTTTTATTACCCTTCATGAGGTACTTATTGCACTGTTACTGGTTTTTATTATCCTTCAAGCGATACTTATGGATTCTTAGTTGTGTTTTATCACCTAGTTAGTTTTTATGCTACCCTTCAGGTGTTTTTTTGTATGTAACTTTTATAGAATATTCATAGGGTACTTGTATGTTTACTCTATCCTTTGTACTCACAAGAAAACAAATTTAGTCAGTGTTGAGAAGCTTACTCAATTTAAGTAACTGACTACAATCATATTTCCCTATTGTGATTTATAAAGCTGCCCAGAGGGCTATCTGTGCTGTGCCCACATTAGGAATTGAGCACCGAATTTTAGCGTTATAAGCCTTCAATGTTACGGCTAACCTACTAGTAGGAGCGGTTTGTTTGTTGTTAAGCAGAAAGCTACACAATGGGCTATTTGTGCTGTGCCCAGTACGAGTATCAAAACTCTGTTTTTTAGCTTTATAAACCTATTGACTTACCGCTGAGTCGCTGAGGGAGAGGGGGGGCAGAGGTGTATTTCTAGTTTGATTTATATTTTATCTGTTACTCTGAGAGGGAAGAAATAAATTATTTACATTTTTAATTGAACATGCTCGTTTTTTTTTACAATAATCGAGCTGTATGTTGTCCATACGTAGTTTCTGTAAATATATAAGGATTTCCCTGTTTATGATGGGACACGTGTGAATGTATACATTTTCCTAATATTCACATTCATTGGTTAACAACATATTTACACTGAGTTGATATGAGAATTCTTAGAAAATCTGTGACTTGAAGAAATTTAACTACTACACACCAAACTATTTGTTTGTTTTGTTTTTGAATTTCGCGCAAAGCTACACGAGGGATATCTGCGCTAGCCGTCCCTAATTTAGCAGTGTAAGACTAGAGGGAAGACAGCTAGACATCACCACCCACCGCCAACTCTTGGGCTACTCTTTTACCAACGAATAGCGGGATTGACTGTCACATTATAACGCATCCACGGCTGAAAGGGCGAGCATGTTTGGTGTGACGGGGATTCGAACCCTCGACCCTCAGATTACGAGTAGAGCGCCCTAACCACCTGGCCATGCCGGGCCACATACCAAACTGTTAACTGAAAGACAAAACGAGTTATGAGTTATAGTTGGCAAACAACAACAACAAATAGCTATGAAATCAACGGTGTGAAAGAAATATGTCAAAGTTGTCCACCTCTTTATTTTTTCGAACTTGTCCTTCATTGTAAACCTAGAAATCGTTCATTTATTCAATCAGTTAGAGTTCTATTGGACTTTCAATCGATCCATATAATCAGTAAGTAAAGAATAAATATACATGAAATGTTACTCTGTTGGTGACAGTTAAAAGTTTTCTTCACATTAAAAACTAACGAACTTACTAGAATTCAAACCTTGTTCAACTATTTCACAAGGCTTGTCTTGATTCCTCGACGACGCTTCACAACCTTGTAGAAAATCCCAAAGCTGTCTCCAGTGTTCTACTTTATCAGTACTAATTTATTTTTCTTGTAAGTAACGCTATAATCTAGCTCCACTCCTAAGAAGAAAAGTGTCTGAAGTCGATGGTTTAAGCAATTCCGTCTGATATTTTTTTTCTGGAAAAGGCATTAACAGGTTTATTTATGTACATTTATATATATATAAAATAACCGAAGTATTTATTTTTTATAAAATAATAATATTTAGTTTATTATATACAAAATAACCTAATTGATTTTACAATATATCGGTGTTTATCTATTATATACAAAATAACCTAGTTAATTAAGTTTATAACAAAATGATGTCCAGTTTGTTACATATAAAAATAACCTAGTTAATTAAGTTTATAATAGCATGATGTTCAGACTCTGCTGAAAATGTTATGGTTGTGTTTAGCTTCACAGATGTAACAAACCTCGGTCCGATAAACTTGAACTCATACTTCACCTTAGAAGTTCATGAATAATAAATAAACTTTCAGGAGGTCGAGGGAAGTGCTCTTACTGTGCAGGTTTCGTTCTCACTTATTACTTGTTTGTAGGAGATAAAAAAAAAGTGTTACATTTATAAGAGCTGAGAGAGAGAAACAACAAGATAACAGTTCCCTATCTAAAACTTTTCGTAGCATGTAATAGGTAAGTTTCAATGTATTTTAATACGTAAAACCACCTGAGGCCTACTTGTCATTATAATGCTGCCGTTAGCGTTAGCCCTCTAGCGGTACAAGGGAGTTGTGATAAATTGGAAACGTCTTCTCTGACACACTCATCTAGCTTGAAATAGTGACTTTTTTTTCTTTACTTTTTTTTTATTGTTATTTGTTTTCTGTTCGCGTGCCTAAACTCACAAGTAAACGATAGCTCGCGGACTATTTATACTGATAATATCGGCGAGTGGCCAGGGTCAAAAACTACTCAGTTGAGTGAGCAGGCTATTCTTGTTTTTATTATTAACCTACTTCTTCGGGGTCTTAGAATTACCTCATCAAAACTGTCGCCATCTACCGACAGTTGAGGTGAGCGTTGTTTTTTTTTTCTTGCTTAATCCCTATTTAATCACATATTGTTTAAGTTTACCAAAAAGATAAAGTTATACAACAATAGTTTTTCAATGTGTACGGCTAATGTCCATCACGATAGGAGTATTGTGTTTGTCTAAGGTACTATAGGAGTATTGTGTTTCTCTAAGGTACTATAGGAGTACTGTGTTTGTCAAGGTACTATAGGAGTATTGTGTTTCTCTAAGGTACTATAGGACTATTGTATTTGTCTAAGGTACTATAGGACTATTGTGTTTCTCTAAGGTACTATAGGATTATTGTGTTTCTCTAAGGTACTATAGAATTATTGTGTTTCTCTAAGGTACTATAGGACTATTGTGTTTCTCTAAGATACTATAGGACTATTGTGTTTCTCTAAGGTACTATAGGATTATTGTGTTTCTCTAAGGTACTATAGAATTATTGTGTTTCTCTAAGGTACTATAGGACTATTGTGTTTCTCTAAGATACTATAGGAGTATTGTATTTCTCTAAGGTACTATAGGACTATTGTGTTTGGCTAAGATACTATAGGACTATTGTGTTTCTCTAAGGTACTATAGGACTATTGTGTTTGTCTAAGGTACCATAGGACTATTGTGTTTGTCTAAGGTACTATAGGACTATTGTGTTTGTCAAGGTACTATAGGACTATTGTGTTTCTCTAAGGTACTATAGGACTATTGTATTTGTCTAAGGTACTATAGGACTATTGTGTTTCTCTAAGGTACTATAGGATTATTGTGTTTCTCTAAGGTACTATAGGACTATTGTGTTTGTCTAAGGTACTATAGGACTATTGTGTTTGTCTAAGGTACTATAGGGATACTGTGTTTGTCTAAGGTACTATAGGAGTATTGTGTTTGTCTAAGGTACTATAGGAGTATTGTGTTTGTCTAAGGTACTATAGGACTATTGTGTTTGTCTAAGGTACTATAGGAGTATTTTGTTTCTCTAAGGTACTATAGGAGTATTTTGTTTTCTAAGGTACTATAGGAGTATTGTGTTTCTCTAAGGTACTATAGGGATATTGTGTTTCTCTAAGGTACTATAGGGATACTGTGTTTCTCTAAGGTACTATAGGGATATTGTGTTTCTCTAAGGTACTATAGAAGTATTGTGTTTCTTTAAGGTACTATAGAACTATTGTGTTTCTCTAAGGTACTATAGGACTATTGTGTTTGTCTAGGGTACTATAGGAGTATTTTGTTTGTCTAAGGTACTATAGAAGTATTGTGTTTGTCTTAGGTACTATAGGACTATTGTGTTTGTCTAAGGTACTATCGGAGTATTGTGTTTCTCTAAGCTAGACAAGAATACGCAGCAGGGAAGCATATTTCTCTTTGAAGCTAATCGGATACATGGTGTTGGGAAGTATATTCCTCTCTTCTTTTTTTTCCAGGTGACTGTCATGGATTCTGGAAGTCCTCCACTTTCTTCAACCACAAGAGTAGTTATAAAAGTATTGGACATCAACGACCACGACCCTGAGTTTCTCCACCGTAACCTCCTTCGTTGCACGGTACCGCCCACAAATATCAGCGCAACGGAATCTATATTGTTTCGGGTAAGTTGCCACCGAAAATACGTTTCTTGCCAGCGTTTGATGCGATCTGAATAAGAAAGTTTATTTTAGGTCCTATCTTATGTTTGATCCTAATTTCCTCTCGGAACCCTTCTTAAAACTTTCGTTGAGGCCCTGCACGCTCCTTTCCCTATCCTTCTCATTTTTTATTTTTTTTATTTTCCACCAATCACGTTCCAGATTAAGCTACTCTCTCTCGTCTTTTAGTTGGGTTCCATTTATAGTACCAAATTTGATAGACCAAATTATGTCGTGGTCTTCTTCGAACTTCGAAGGACGAACAACAACAACATTTATAATACCACTGAGTAGTAAGGATCTCTTCATCTTCATGTCCCGTTTCATCTTTAACCTCGGTTAATTTGGTAGATGGGCAGATTCGATTCTTTCAGCAATATATGTTCCCATAATATAATTGTGTGTGTCATTCTTCGTGATGACATAGTCAATGACCGAGCCTTTTCTAATTCCTATATAGATCAACTTCCCTTCAATCAAGAACCGTGTTTTTAAGAACTGATCATCTTATCAACATAATCATATTTTCATTCAAACCTGAAACCTCATTAACTGGATTATTTACTTGAAAAAAAGGTTATATGAATTTAACATTCATATAAGGTAGTATTTGATATTTTCAACCCGAAAGTCACATAATATGACACATGGGCTGAATGGCCAGATCAGATACCCTAAGGTTCAGGCATAACCGCCCTTAATTAAGAACTTCTGGTCAGAGGGAGGACAACCAGTCATTGGCATCCGCTGCCTACACGACTACACTTAACGAAATAACACTTTTATAACACGCCCACACCTGCAAATATCGCTTGTTTTAAGCGTTCGAACCTTGGCCCTTCTAATACGTAGTCCGAGTACACTAATTGGATGGATTTTTTTTTTTCATACGCGACACAGGCTTGCCAATTTCCTTGATACATTTTGATAATTATCTTTTTTAAAGTAACACATTTGATGATCTTAAGAAAGAAGCCCATCCTCTCTCCTCAGTGTCAATCTTTCTATCTTCTAGGGGGAAGCCCTTTCTCTCTCTCTCTCCTGTCACCTCCTTCATCTTCAAGGGGAAAGCCTTCCCTCTCTCTCTAGTGTCACGTCCTTCATCTTCAAGGGGAAAGTCCTTTCCCATCTCTCCTCCTGTCACCTCCTTTATCTTCAAGGAGGAAGCCCTTCCTCTCTCTCTCTCTCTCTAGTATCACCTCAATTTCTACTGTCTTTTCTCTGTCTTCTTTGTATTATATCCCTTTTCTTCAAGGCGATAACCTTTCTTTTCTCCCTATTGTTTCCTCTCTTTTCTTCAAGGTAATAACCCTTCCCTTGACCCTAGTTTTGCCTTATTTTTCTTCAAGGCGATAACCTTTCTTTTCTCCCTGTTGTTTCCTCTCTTTTCTTCAAGGTAATAACCCTTCCCTTGACCCTAGTTTTGCCTTATTTTTCTTCAAGCGAATAACCCTTTCGCTTTCCTTATTGTTTCTCCACTTTTCTGGAAGGTAATAACACTTCCCTTCTCCCTAGGTGTCACCTCTATTTTCTACTGAGGTATTGTGATTCAAACCATAATTTCCTGTTCATCACGGCCAGTTTACATATTAATTTGAAAATTATTAAGTAGTTCGATATATTTTGCATTAACTCAACAACAACAACAACAACAAAAGAACGAAACCTGTTTCTGAGAGGTATATAGCGTAAAAGTTCAATGGAAACATAGTAATTTACATTTTTTTTTTTGGATGAGTAAAGACTTTGAACAAAGACTTTTTCTTTAATGCCATATAATTCAGTCGAGTATTTAAGATCTTTGGCCTTAGTTGATTTATACGTATCTTTAAGCCTAATCTATTCACAACAAATTCTGAGCTCTCTACATAAAAACAAGGTGTTTTTGTTTTATACACTATTAAATATTTTTTTTTTCTATCGGAAAGAGTAATTTATACTCCTTATTGGTGTTCCTTTTCCCCGCCCATTTCTTCAAGAGCGAATGACGAAAACGACGCGAGAGAGCAAAAAACACATTTAAACATCGCGTGCAAAAGCACTGCTCGGGAACATTTTGGTCAGTATAATTTTTTGTTATAGAAATAAATAGGGAATCCCTTACATCCAAGAGATAGTGTTTTTTTTTGTGTGTGTACAAAACAGAAACGAAAGTGGCCGTTGAAGAATAGGTTATATTTAATGAAAATCTCCTTTAAATATCGAATGTCGAAGAATACCCATTGTGTTTACAATCCAGGTTGTCCTGTATATATTTTCTTGTGCCGTCCTGGTAAATTCATAAGTAAACAATATTAGTAGAAACTGTCAGTTTAAAAAGGGGGGAATATGGATCGTCAAAAAAGTACAGAAACAAGTTGGATCAAAATGCAAAGTTCAAATTTTCAAGCCTTCAGCTAGGGGACTCTACAAAACGTAAACAAACTAGGCTGGAAATAGTGTTTACATTATTTTCTCAAGCTACAAATCCCTGTTTTGATTCCATGTCTACAGTACTTATCAATTTTAGTGGAGTCAAAATAGGAATTTGTAGCTTGAAAAAATAATTTAAACACTATTTCCAGCCTAGTTTATTTACTTTTTTTACAGTCTTTAGTTGTAGACTTGAAAATATAATCTTTGCATTCCAACTTTTTTTCTGTACTTTTTTGACGATCCTTAACCCCCTTTTTAAATTATTAACTTTGACTCATCTTTTTCCTTAAGTTTTTTTTTTGCCCATTAATGGAGAATAAATTGTAAGCTATATACGTGCATATGCGTTCAGTTGAATATTAATTTTCTTCCGACAGTTTACTGCTGCCCGACATGGCCAGGTGGTTAGGGCACTCGACTCGCAATCTGCGGGTCGCGGGTTTGAATCCCCGTCCCACCAAACATGCTCGCCCTTTCAGCCGTGGGGGCGTTATAATGTGACGGTCAATCCCACTATTCGTTGGTAAAAGAGTAGCCCAAGAGTTGGTGGTTATGACTAACTGCCTTCCCTCTAGTTTTACACTGCTAAATTAGGGACGGCTAGCGCAGATAGCTCACGTGTAGCTTTACGCAAAATTCAAAACAAACAAACAGTTTACTGCTACTTTGGATTTTTTTCAACCATCCACCCCACTGAACCTATTCAAAATATATAACAAATGTACTAAAAAGGATAAACACATGTACTGGTATGCTACTATAACAAACAAAATGTAATGTTGTTCTCTTGAAGGCAAAGATTATATCATCACACATTTAATGAGCGGCTTCCATCAATGTCACAGTGTAATGTAACAAAGACGAACAGCAACAAAGCAATCTTATCAGAAAGGAATAATGTTTCTTCTAAGATAATACAAAACAGATTAATGCAATGTATACAGACGCAGTGGCATGCTTACCTTGTTAAGTCTACATGACACTTATATACGTTCTTCAACAACCTATTGTGTACAAGTGTTTATTAGAATATGATGACACAAATAATGCAAGCAAAATAGACAACAGCGACACACTTAGCGTAAATTGCCAATTATCAACAACATTTAAACCTTTACCTTAACAATAATCATTTAAAAATAGCAATGACTATATGAAATAATGCTATATGCAGTGATAATAAATCTTCACTCACGATTTCAGATAATTACACAAAACAGTAGAAAGAATCACCACCGTCGTCTGAGTAGGAAAATTTACAACGGTATTCGTCCAGCGTTAAAAACTTGCTGAACTATTGTTGTGGAAATCCACGTAGAGACAGCAAACTCGAGTAACGATGAACAATAGAGACTCGAGTAATGATATGCAACAGCAATATCGGGAACCTTTCACGTGGCAGTTTCCAATTAATGCGCTAAAAAATGCACGAATTGTAGTTTCCAACTAACGCGCACGCTAGGAAAATATCGAATTTTTTGATGGCGGAAAATTGAGCAAAATTCCTGTGCGATCCCATACTACAGTATATATCACTTGCAATAATTTGACAGTGGAGTCATAATAGGGATTTGTAGCTTGAGGAAACTGTCAGCAGTAGATCTCCAGTCTTGTTTACTTGCTTTTTTGCGATCCCTATTTGTTGATTTTAAATTCTCAATTTTTAATTATCTTGTAATGTGGCTTTTTGAATGCACAGCAATGGACAAATATGTGCCTGGAGTATGACACAATCCCCACTAAGCACGTATATAATTTTACCAGTAGAAAAGCAACCTTTTCAAATAAAACAAATATGTCTAAGACATCGCATAAAATAAAGCTTCGTGTCTTTTAAAGTAATTATTTACTGAGCTGCCCCCAGTGGCACAGCGGTATGTCTGCGGAATTACAACGCTAGAAACCGTGTTTCGATACCCGTGGTGGGCAGAGAACAGATAGCCATTGTGTAGCTATATGCTCAACTAGAAACAAACAAACAAATTTATTAAGCCAGGTGGCTTTGTGCCTGGGGTCTCGGGTAAACACGAATTTAACTTGCATCGAGTACAAAAGCAACCGCTCAGAACAACATCGCATCTATTATGTATTTATAACCATGTAAATCAGCTTTCAATAAAAAAATAATGAACTTTTAAAATGGTCATGGACATTCGCAGTGCTTCATGAACTATATATATGTTTGGGTTTGGGGGGCAAATTTCCCAGCCGATTTTGCTGTAGGCTTGTGAAACAACAATAATAATGATAATATGAACAAATGGGCATGTTTTGATTTTGTCTACAAATCGTGAAATCACATATTTTGCTTATCATCAATGTTTGGGTGATCTGAACTATTGAAAAGGAATGTTGTGAGAGTTGTTTCGAGAATAAGCGTGCTTTTTAAGGTGGTTTTTGCCCGAATGTTCTATGAGAGTTTTGATCAAATTATCGTGCGATCGCTATCATGAACCACAATCGTGGTTCATGATAAATATCTATGTATGTCTAAAAATACTTAAAATAAAAAATTAATGTATATGCATTTAAAATCAACAAAAGTTAGC